CATACATAAAGTATATTAAACAATTTTTATTAATATATTTAATAATTTTTCTTATTTTTTATTCTTTTATATGCACAATATAACGATCACGACATATATCTTATTATACATATTTAAGACTATATTTGGATGTTTGACAACATCCGTGTAATGAGAATGCTACTTTTTTTGAACTGGAAGGAAACCAGGTCTCGCGTCAGCGGGCCAAGTGAAAGGGGTCTTCAGGCCCGAAAAAGAAAATTGTTATCCGCGATTCACTTCGTCGCGCGCGGCCCACTGAGCCACCTCACCCGTGTAATTACAGTAGGGAGAGAGAGAGAAGGGAGGGGGCCCACTCCGGGACTCCGTGTAATTGAGGACGAAACCGAGGGGAGAAAGTGAACCATCGTCTCTTTACGTATACACCGACGCAGCATGATTCATTCGTTATTCGGCGCACACGATGTGTACGCACGCAAGGAGACGGGCCCCGTAACTAGGGCATGACGAAGATGGCACCTGTCGCGATTGCACAAATCCTGCGGGTATCGCTCGTGTGTCAATAATTTGTTAACTATTTGATATTATCTCGATTAGAAGAAAATCTAATAATTATCTTAATGTTATTAGTAATAGCTTATCGTATAAAACTTACTTTATATAAATTCTCTCTTCTCTCTCTTGTTGTGTATAGACATTATGTTCTAGTTATAAAAATATTGATAATTAAAAATATCAATTGCATATATATCTTTAAAAATAGTATTATAACTAATTCCCCTTAAAATATTACATTTTTTATAAAAAATTAATGACTTATCAAGATCTTTTTTAATTATGTAATATTATTTACAATTAATTTTATTTTTGGATTTATCATGATTTCTGAAACATGGGTTTAAATTTAGGTTTTCGTTATGAGCTGGAACGATTCTGGTTACGATTCTGAAAGCAAATACAAGTCATGAATTGTAATTGCACGCGCTACCAATTCGTGTCACTCGGGTGTCCTCATTAACGCTTCTTCGTGCGCTGAGATGTATTTCACAAGTATCGTGTTTCTTTAAAAAAATAAATTTTTTTTTAGAAGAAAAGGGCTCGACTTTGACGTCACGTTGATAAATAAAGGCGAGTTCTCGTAACGTTGATAAATGAGAGCTTTCATATAATTAAATGAATGAGAAGTGCATGCTTAAAAGAGATCTATGTTGTCTTTGTATATAGCCGCTATATAGAGCTTATTAAGAATCGTTGCTATAAAAATTTGCCGCAGACAATGTGACTTGCAATATGATTACTACATAAGTTAGAAAATTATTTATTTTCTTTCCTTATTTTTTTTATATATAAAAAAAATGAAAGGAGATACAACAATGAATCAAAGTTTCTTTAAAGAAGAATTGTAAGATTTATTATGGATTTAAAATTTTGGAACCTTGTAACATTCAGAAGAAAAACTCGTACGTTGATTATATATTTCATTTTCATGTAATTTTGAAATGTGTATTAATCAATGATTTAAGATACAATACACGTAGCGACAATACTACTTTCAATTACTTTCACATCAAGCGTTTTCCTTTTCATAGCGAAAACAATGCCGAACTTGTTTTATAAACATGTCGCATATATATTATATATACTTTCTATCACCTCTATTAAAGTGACATGACAGTAATGGAATTAGATAAGGTCACATGTGTTTGCGGAAATTTTAAACCGACTTTTTTACATGTCTCAAATTTTTTTAAATGTTCACATTTGGAGAAATAACAAAGTTATCATTATTGAATATAGACATTTAATAAATTCTGATAATCTTTTTTCTAAATTTTTATTATTGTATATAATAGTAATCATAACTATTTATTATTATATTAGTAGTTGTATATACGAGAACTACATATAGGATAATATACTACTGTTAATGCATAATACATTTGAGAACGCAAAAGAGAGAATACTTGATATATTAAATAATTTTATCAAATTCGAATGAGCATTTAATTCTAATTAATAAAATGCGTCACATTTCTTTCATAAATTATTTTTTTCGAATCTATTAGTATTCTCAAGTATTCATAAATTAATAATTAATACTGCATATCGACTCATTATTTTCGTCCTTCAATTATACTTGAATTGTAGAATGACATGAGCTATTTCAGTTTAAGTTTAGCCGTATATCACGTAATAATTGATATCTGTCATTTTCATTGAATTATGTAACTCGCGGCTTTGCAGAGGCAAACGTCGCGACGTGCATCGATTATGTTTTATTTTTACGGTCAGTGCTGCCGGGGGAAAGAAGTGCTATTTTCGAATC